ATTCAGCCCATCGAACGATTGCCCATTAATGATTTTCACTGCTTTGTACTTTAGTATATGCAAAAACAATTGAAAAATAGTTAGAAATTTCACGCACCAGCGCATGAAAACTGAATTCGAAACCTTGAAGGGTAAATATCTTTCCGTGATTCCCGAGTTAATAGTTTAACCGCCAAAATTCTCACGAGCCCGTAGGTGATACTCAACAGCGAGGGAATGCTGAATTTGAACAGGCAAGGCTGAGCCTCGGCGGAGGGCCATTACCCTAAAATTCCAGTCTCCTAAACTCCGTGGCTTCTGAGATATTAATTCACCCGTAAAAAATTTCACTGGGCCGTACGAGTTACCCGCGGGTACGGGAAGGCTGAATTTAAATTTGCCGCGTCATCCATTGGCGGGGAACACTATACCAAAATTTCAGCCGCCAAGCTTTTGTGGTTTCCGAATTGAAAGTACGGGACAAAATGTGGAACACACAACAAAACACACACACACACAGACAACCCCCTGACAATATGCGTTTTGTAACGCTGTTACACAGCACAAAACGCACAATAAAAAGGAAACAAACCGGAGTGGCAATAACCAATTCGGCACCTTCTCTTAGGGCATTTTGCTGCTCCCATTTGCTCCCACCACCATACGCACAAACTACGCTGATGTTGTAGACTTTGCAGTAACGTTTTGCTTCTTGGTACACCTGCAATAATTCCAAAACTTCTATCGAACACACTATATTGCATTAGCATCGCTTGCTATTGTTTCAACGCATTCTCAGAGACTACTCTGACCCATCCAATTACTGATTTGACCCTTTTTCTCTTTCCAGAAAAAAATGGTATGCGTTGCACTTCCACGTTTCCCCGGTGACCTTTACTAACCGACTACAAATGAGCCCCCCATACTCCCTTATGACAGAGATTACACATGTGAATGCCGCAACTGGGATAGAAATCCTAAGTTAACACGCGAAGGTGGCTGCGTATTTCAGTGATATGTGTGAAAGAGACCAAGTCCTATGCTTTCCTTCCCACTTTAGTGCTGGAGAATTAGTTTCAAAAAGTTACCATAGACATTATCGAGACATTTTTCTAAATACACCCGGTACTGATTTCAGCTCAAATTTCTTTTTCTTTTTGAAATCGCCAAATTTTGAATC